ATGCCTCGCTCAAACCTCGCCGGAATGGATGCTTCACTACCGGCGGGTGTCTCCGCTGGTTGTGCCGCCTCCTTCGGTTTCCCGATGCAAGGAAACCTGTTATCCCAGTATCATCATCCTCAGCAACGACAAGTTCTTCACAATAATAATACAATATCATCCACGGGCTTTCCTAACAATAGCAATACTGATTCAACTTCAAAGAAAGCTGCATTTGCTTTTGCTCAAGACATAAGATTTTGTAATTCTGGAGCCACTGCAGCTTTTCTAAGAGACCACGGGCTTCTTCAAGATATTGTTCCTTCACACATGTTGAAAGAAGAATAGAAGATTGTACTGCTTATATATGTAATTTCTTTTTGCTGACTCTGGTAGGCAGGAGACTTGTAGATGAGAATTCCATCGCTAGTGATCCATCATATACTTTGTAAAATACCCTTTAATTGCTTTTTGCACATATTATAGCCCAACGAGGGGACTGCCTAGCTTCAATGGAGTCAGCCCTTCTGGGTCTGCTTCGTTATATATCTTCCATTACTTCTACTTTGAACACCACTTTCCTTGGCGTGTTATGCTGTGACCCGCTCTCCTCCTCCGATCATTTGAGCATATATGTCCCGTATTATTCTATATATGATCCTTTTTTGTTTGGAAAAAGCTTTCATTTCACATAGGCACAGCAGGACAATTGGCATTTGGTATTGGAAGCTTTCTGGTTTTACCTTTTCTGAATTCTCGGAGAACTGAAACTGAAACTCAAAGGATCTTGCAGTGAAAACTGAATCCCCGAGAGCAAGGGCACCGCCGCACGGGGCTACATATGAGGAGAGGAAGAGCAGTTCAACCACTTCCAGTCCGCTTTAAGTTTCTTGATTTAATGCCTTCTTATATTTCAGCCTGCGTGATACAGATACGGATTTGAATTGAGCTGAGACTGGCAAGTAGGAGGCAAATTATATGTGAGATGTAGTGAGAGAAAGAGAAAGAACGGGGGGGGGGGAAACAAAAAGGATACCCACGGGTTAGCTTTCAATAAGTGTATGGCGGGATAAAATCTTGATGTCGACCCTTTTTCGCCTATTTTGTTGAAGACGTATTAAAAGCTCGAAATCTCATTTTCTCTTGAGTTACGGTTATGGGGTATGAAAGAAAAAGATAAGACGATGGATGGCTGAGAACACAGAAGGGTGGTCGTTAAGAGAATATAGGCTTGTTTGATATTATATTTGATACTTAATATAAGAACTAGTTAACTAATTAAAAAAGTTTATTGAGATAATTATTTCTAATAATTGTGTTGTTTTTTTTAATATCCGTACTAATTATGTATCAGTTAAAACTATTATTTGATTGAACATTTAACATGTATAACTATTATAATAACTATTTTAAAAAGAAAAAAATAAATATGAAAAACAGGATAGATTGAATTCTTATATATAAAATTAAATTAAAAATTAAACTAGTTTTTATATTAAAAATATCAGAAGTCGTAGACCACCACAGCTCTAAAAGTTTTAAAGACGTTACGCTAGCCGTCATAAACGCCTTTGATTGTGCAGCAATCCATTGCACTCAGCTAAAACTGTGGGGCATAAAACAAGGAATAGTATCTTCCACTTGAACTGATCAGTAACCTTAACCTTTCGTTCTCTCAGCCTCTACGATAGCAATCCTACTCGCTCCATCAACAAAGCCGCGCACCATATGCGCTCTCAAGATTCTAGCTTCCCCGCATACTCCACTAGAGCCCGACAGCGACTTGGATTCTCTTCACTGGCGTTACCATCCTCTTTTCTTGTATGTTTTTTTTCCCCTTCACAGCTATTACGATTAGATCAAAACTCTAATAGTCCGGATTTAATATTTTATAACGTCTTATAAAAATAATATTATTATAAAAAATAGATAAATAAATTTAAACTGTTAAAATATAATCTGAACAATTTACAGCTACAGACTATTATTAGAGAGCAAATTTTTTTATTACAGCTGTAAACTGTTCAAACCAGATTTTAACTGTTTAAATTTATTTATTTATTTTTTTAATAACATTATTTTTATAAAATGTTACCTGAACTATAAAAATTTTAGTTCAATGGTTATGACGAGAAAAAAAAGGTAGTGGAGAGGAAAAAAGGTAGGAAAGGTAGGGGAGAAAATATAAATCTGCTCGGCAGTACCCTGAAATCGTAGTTCACATATTGCTCGTCCTTTTGTGGGCTCGCCTTCTTTATCACGCGCTTTCATTCGTGTTGAATGCGTCATTTGCGTGTTTGTATAAGCTAAAATGAGATAGCAGTTCCAAAAGGGAGAGTAACATGTGTCCTGTTCGTGGGGTCTTGCTCACCAGTCTCGATCACTTTTTTACACATACATTTTCTTTTCTGGATTCATTTTTAGTTTTAATTTGTGGTGGTATTCATCCTTTTCAATTGTTTTGGGGACCGAACTTTTTTTTTTTATACGAGCCTTTTTTATTTTTCTTCCGACAGGCATTTAAGGTGAAAAATAGGGACAATCTATTGAAGCATGCATGCGCACTTGAAACGTGTTTAGTTTGGATAATTGATGTTGAACTGGGTCACCTGACCCCGACAACCGGCTACTGTGGCTGCTATCGTCGGCCTGGAATTGAGTGTGGATGCCTGACGGCCTCAATTAACTGGGGCGTCAAATGGACCGACCCACCTTTTCCATGGGGTGGGCCTTGTGAAAATTTAACACCTGAGGACTACTTTCAACGTAAAAACGTATCCATAAAGCCCAGATAGAAGCGAACAGTCATAATAGAATATTTGATTAGATTTTAAAATTCTAATTAATATTTACTTTTTACGGGAGTATGATTTTTATGTTCATTCAAATGAGATTTAAATTAGATATACGAAGTTTAGGAGAAACATATGAAAATTTAAGATTAATTAATTATTTATCCATTTAGGCCTCCAATTGACATACTTTTTAATTATGATATATTTTATTTAATTTAATATATTTAAATTTTAATTAAGATATTATTCAAATTCACAATTCATTATTAGTTTTTTCATTTGAGTCTCCAATTTAAATTCTATTTAATAATGATGTTCCTCATTTAATTTAATATACCCAAATTTTAATCAAAGTATTGTTTAAATATCATTAATTAAATATATTCAGAAATCATAATATCATATACGATTTATTTTTAAAAGAATCAAGCATCACAAGTTTTTAAGAATATATTACCTCTAGTCCTAATTATAAGAGCCAGTTGACTAATTTGAAGATTAAGGAAGTAAGTTGAGTTAGTTATTTGTCCTAAATAGGTGGTCTTTCCTAAAATATCCTTACTAATCAAGTGTATTGAATAGAACTCTTATTATTAGAATGGTTACTTTGAAAAAAAAAAGTATAAATATGAGAGACAAAGTGGATTGGGGTCTTATATTTAGGACCAAAATAAAAGTCAAACAGGGTCTTATATTAAGGACCGGAGGTATTAGTTGATAGTTGACGATTGATGATGTCATGATATAAGAAGAGAACATATTTAGCGATAGAAGGGGCTGTCATGATATTCATCCGATTCTTAATATAATACCTATTTAATTAATTTGATTAGATTAGGGAAGTTAGGTAAGTTAATTAATTATAATAAATATAACATATTTTTTCTAAAACACCACAATTATCTTTCTTAATATCTCCTTTCCCTCTTTTACTTGATTATGGTTAAGAGAGTATCTAGAAAGGTAATTTAGTAAAAAACTGATAAATATGAGAAATAAGTATTATATTTAGGACCAAAACTAACTCAATAAGCAGGTTTTATATTAATTACTGAAGGAGTAACAAAAAGCAAAAAGCAGTGTCATCCAAGCTGATAATTTTTTGGGAAAATGGTAAATAAAGACTCTCATAAATTACGATTTGAGACCCTCAATCTGGAAAATGACAAATAAGGATTTGGTCCCATATTACAAATATAAAATATTGGTGGAATGTCTAAAATACACCTCAGCTAAGTGATAAGTTGACTATAAAAAATGACAAGTTCACTTTAACGAACGACAACTTTAGTAGACTAAATCACAACTTGGCTGAGAGTATGCCAGATAACAAGTTGACCATGGGAAATGACAAGTTCACTTTAACGAATGACAATTTTAGTAGATCAAATCACAACTTAACTAAGGGCATTACAGACATTTCACTAAAATTTCATATTTGCAATATGGGATCAGGTCTTTATTTGCTATTTTTTAAATTGAGGATCTAAATCGTGATTTTCATATATTAGGGGGTTTTATTTGCTATTTTTCCTTCTTTTTTTTTTTTGCATATTTATATATTTAAAGATCTCGAACCCTGAATCCACGAGCCTTTGCATCAAAATATACAAATGCTATCTGGTTATGCATAGTGGAGTTTCAGCAATCAGCCAATACAGTCTATCTAAGATTCGTCTTCGTCCACGAAATAGCATATAATTCAATTTTAAAAAAATACACGTTATCCACTTTTTTTAATAAAATCAAGAAAATGACATCTAGCCTTTAAAAAATTAATTTAATAATAACTAGCACTGAAGAATATTTTATTAAAGGATGAGTTAAAGACATTAATTCAAATAACTGTAAATATGAGAATAGTATATGCAAATAAAATATTTAATGCTTACAGGCTATCCTTTTTTTTATCAGAACTTACAGGCTATCCTTAAGTGCTAGAGGTTGTATTAATGTTTATAACTAAATGTTTTAGTATTTTTATTTGGAAAAAATTAAGCTCTTGATACACAATTATGCCGCTGGTCAAAAAAAGATACACAATTATGCCTAAAAAAGTAGTATTTTATTACAGAAGTATAAGACAGCAAAGAATGCACTGTCCCGGACGGACTTGACCGGAAAGCGAGTGGGGCCTTCCGCTCTTTTGAGATTTTTTCCTTTTTTTATAGTTTTTTTGTGCTGGCGTAATGAAAATTACAAAATGATGCAGTCTGATAAAAGGGAAAAATCAAGGGGTCAGCCTGGATAACCCACGGACAGGGGCACAGGGCAACCCTAGCTGGAAAATGCACACCTGGATCATGTGGCCTATCTTCATCGGCGCTTTGCCGTGCTGGAAGATCGTCGCCTCCGATCTCCATAACCGTAAGTCATCACCCCCCCCCCCCCCAAAAAAAAAAAGAATTACCTGGCTGTTTTGCTGTGGCACTCTATACTGCGCCTGTTTCAGATTCTTCCTTGCTACTTTTTTTTTTTTGCTTTCTACTTCTATTCTAGCTTTCCCTCAGTTTTTCTTGGGTTTCAGCTGATGAAAGTTGAAACTAGTAGCATCTTGATTTTAAAATGTTTTATCGTTCTATTTGTTGCAATTTTTAATTTTTATTTTCTGGGAGGGGGAGGAGGTTGGAAGTATGTTACCTGCATATTTAAATTCCACTTTCATTTTTTTTGAAGATATTATTTAGTAACCATCACGTTCATTCTGTGATTGTTATAGCTTATGCTAATGGCTTTCTGGTCTTGGACCGTGTTGTATGGATGTGTTGGGATTTATCTATCCTAAGTGCAGCGATATTGTAGTTTTCTGGTGTCTTGTTCCACTAAATAATTACTATTCATAATTTTCTATCTTCTTTTATGGATTTTAGTTCTGTTACTTCTTGCAGCGGTGCAATGACAGAATGGTTATGAAGAAGGAGCTCCAACTTCAAGTCTACCTAGAATCGTGCTTACACTCTCCCTTTCCTATATTTGGAATGGATTCCACTGCCTACCCTGCTCCTTCCTCTGCCATCAAACCTTACCCAAGCTTCCTTTGATTTCTTCGTCTCTCTGCCTCACTCTTTACTCATATTTGTCTTGATTTAATACACAAGCCTTTGGATGGCCTCAACACCTCCGCAGTGTTCAATTACTGCAGCAAAACCATACCAAAACCACCCTTATCCTCAGAACAACCGCCACTTCAGAAACCAACGCCATGACCACCACCAGAACAATCGATATTGGGCCTCTAACAAAGTCTTTGCTACAAAACCTTCTCCTATACCTCGCAATGCATCAAAATCGGGCACCATCCCTGGCCCCGTCCCCCAAAACCCCAGCCTTTCATCTTTCTGTTCTCTTCCTTCCCCAAAATCTGAACTTGCTGCAGACTTCTCTGGTCGACGTTCTACCCGGTTTGTCTCCAAAATGCACCTTGGACGACCTAAATCTGGTTTAAGCAGCCCCCACTCCTCCATAGCTGAGGATGTCCTGCAGCATGTCATGCAATGCAATAATGATGTAGGGGCTCTTGAAGACATATTGGTTAAATTTGAACATAAGCTACGTAGATGTGATGATTATGCATATTTAATCCGTGAACTTGGGAATAGAGGTGAATGCTGGAAAGCAAATAGGTGTTTTGAATTTGCTGTAAGAAGGGAGAAGAGAAAGTATGAGCAGGGCAGATTAACTAGCACGATGATTAGTACCCTTGGTAGGTTAGGGAAGGTTGATCTTGCAAAGAAGGTCTTTGAAATGGCGAAGGATAAAGGGTATGGAAACACGGTTTATGCTTTTTCTGCGATAATTAGTGCATATGGGCGTAATGGTCACTATGATGAAGCAAGAAGGATCTTTGAGTCAATGAAACAATCTGGTCTAAAACCAAATCTGGTTACATATAATGCAGTGATTGATGCTTGTGGGAAAGGGGGCGTGGAATTTAAGAGAGTAGTGGAGATCTTTGATGAAATGCTGATAAATGGTGTTCAACCTGATCGAATTACTTATAATTCACTTCTTGCGGTTTGCAGTAGAAGTGGGTTGTGGGAGGCAGCTCAAAATTTATTCAGTGAGATGGTTGAGAGAGGGATCGACCAGGATATTTTCACTTACAATACATTTTTGGATGCACTGTGCAAAGGTGGACAGATGGATTTGGCCATTCAGGTCATGGCTGAGATGCCTGCAAAGAAAATTTTGCCCAATGTGGTGACTTATAGTACTATGGTTGATGGTTATGCCAAGGCTGGTAGATTAGAAGAGGCACTGAATTTTTTCAATGAAATGAAATTTATGTCAATTGGTCTTGATAGGGTCTCATATAACACACTGCTTTCAATTTATGCAAAGCTTGGCAGGTTTGAGGAGGCCATGGGCATATGCAAAGACATGGAGAGTTGTGGGATAAAGAAGGATGTTGTAACATACAATTCACTTTTGGGTGGTTATGGCAAGCAGGGGAAGTATGATGAAGTTCAGAGAGTATTTAAAGAGATGAAAGCAGAAAATGTATATCCAAATGTGTTAACTTATTCAACATTGATTGATGTGTACTCAAAAGGTGGAATGTATAAGGAGGCAATGGAGGTTTTTAGGGAGTTCAGGAACGCAGGATTGAAGGCTGATGTTGTCCTTTATAGTGCATTAATTGACGCTCTTTGCAAGAATGGATTAGTTAAATCTGCGGTGATGTTGCTTGATGAGATGACAAAGGAAGGAATTAAGCCCAATGTTGTCACTTACAATTCCATAATTGATGCCTTTGGTCGGTCTGCAGCTGTGGAATGTGCTTGTGATGGCTTTGCTCAATCTAGTGATCATCAACTAGAAACTTCATATCTGAGGCTTATTGAGGGCCCTGTCCAAGACGAGGTGGAAGTTAAGGAGGACAACAAAATCATCAAGATGTTTGGGCAGCTTGCTGCTGAAACATCAGGCCTTGCAATCAACGATGAAGGGAGCAAACAAGACATTTCCTACATATTAGGGGTCTTCCAGAAAATGCATGAGCTGGAAATTAAACCAAATGTCGTCACATTCTCTGCCATTTTGAATGCTTGCAGGTATGTAACAAACCCGTCTTTCTGCTTAATTCTGTTTCATGCCAGTTATGTAGGTACTTATCACTAGGGCTTATAACAGTCACGGACCATTAAACAAAAGGCCCTCTCAGACCTTCGGAATTTCTTATCTTGTAAGGGTGCGTGTGTGCATATAAGCAGTAGCCTTTGTTACTAGTCATCTGTCCTCAACCTAATTGTATAGTGGACTTTTCATGCTCTGTGCTAAAGAAAGTGTTCCTTCACTCATTTGGATCCCATTACCTCTATGAATTTTTGTCGTCTGCATGATGACTCCATTATTTTTGGAATTTTCTGGTCAGTACATCAATATCTTCTGTATTTTTTGTCTACTAAAGTATTAATTAATTTAAAGCCAAAATTACACACACACGCACACAACTTCCAAATGAGACATCTGGACGTGCCAGCACTTAGAATCAAAGTATAAATTGAATCTGCAATGGAAAGCTCAAAACATTCCTCACTCTCTAGATTAATGAGGACCTATAATAGTTGTTGGAGCATATGAGCACATTTTGTTGTATTTAATCTTAATTTCAGTTTTATGTCGCTGTTATGGCTGTGGTTTTTCTTCCCCAACTTGTTCCAAGTGTAAGCCTATGATGCTTTTGGGTTGGAGACCTGATATGTAAAGCATGACATGCTTACTTTGGCCTGTTCAAATTTAGGCTTTTAGGACAACTAGAGTTTGGCAATAACTCCTATCCTCCAATCTATTTCCTGCTCAAGGTCTGCTTATTTCGTATTCTTTGCACTGCCTTCCTCCTAATGTTATTCTGGTAATATGCACTTGTATATTCATTTCGCAAAGTGTATAATTTGGTCCTTGGATACAGCCGTTGCAATTCATTTGAAGATGCTTCAATGTTATTGGAGGAGCTCCGCCTATTTGATAACCAGGTTTATGGTGTGGCCCATGGACTGCTTATGGGTTACAGGGAAAACATTTGGGTTCAGGCTCAATTACTGTTTGATGAAGTCAAGCATATGGATTCTTCAACAGCTTCTGCCTTTTATAATGCCCTTACTGACATGCTTTGGCACTTTGGTCAGGTAAAATTGATTGATGACAAATGTTTTTTCCCCCATCTGGGAATGAGGAATTTGATAAAACTTGGTTGTGCCAATGTCTTCTCAGAGGTATAATCAAGGTATCCAAAAAACTGGACGGCCATTGAATTAGTGTCTCGATCAGTTTAATGAATGGTTTTGTTTTTAATACCTTGTTTCTGTGAAACCAAAGGAAAAGAAAAAATATTTAAGCAGACCAGTAGAACTGGTCAACTCCCTAGTTTTACCAGTTTTGACTAGTTTCAGGCTGGGCAGATTAGTTTTCTCCCCTTGGTTTACCCTCTAGTTTTGACCAGCCTGGCATCAGTTTGCTTGTTTTAGAGTCAAATTGGTCCGTCTAGTTCAGTTTTTAAACATTGGGTATGGTTATTATTAGTAAGTTCCTTTTTCTTTCTTTCTTTCTTCTTTTTCCCCTTTGCTGCTCATTTATGCATGATTGACTTTCCATTTGATGTTTTTTTATTGAATTGGTATCAGAAACGAGGGGCCCAGCTCGTTGTGCTTGAAGGGAAACGTCGAAATGTTTGGGAGAGTGTCTGGTCTGATTCTTGCTTGGATCTGCATCTGATGTCTTGTGGTGCTGCTTGTGCAATGGTGCATGCATGGTTGCTCAATATCCGTTCAGTTGTTTATGAAGGCCGTGAACTGCCTAAGCTATTAAGGTATGCATCTTTGGTCACTTGTAGGGTTAGCCTTGCGTTCTTTGGTGGAATTAACGAGGGTATACGTCTTTATGATATATGGCAGCATTCTGACCGGATGGGGCAAGCACAGCAAAGTAGTTGGCGATGGCACTTTGAGAAGAGCTATCGAGGCACTTCTCAATGGCATGGGCGCGCCCTTTCAGGTCGCCGAGTGTAATTTAGGTAGGTTTATATCTGCAGGATCTGTGGTCGCTGCCTGGCTGAAAGAACCAGGCACATTAAACTTGCTTGTACTTCATGATGACAAGAGTAATCCTGAAGACGCAAAATCAGGAAGAATTTATGATTTGAAAATGCTCAGCTTGTAGATAAGTGTATGTGTTCGTCCCTCCCTTTTTTCGCCATTGAAGTGTAAATGTGTATGTTTTGCTAGGGGACCACATTTTACTAGACCATATGGCCATTCGTGAGGTTTAAATTACCAGACAAAACACAAGATCCAAGCACTTGGGATCGCTGAATCCCAATCATGATAAATGCAATGAGTCAATTTTTTTTTTTTTTTGAGTTACAAGAGGGCGGCATCGAACCCGCAACACACACATCCTGCACACGCATACATACCACTTGATCAAGCACCCAGTGGTGCAATCAGTCAATTATTACCAACATATCTCTGAAGGTATAGAAAGTCAGATTGTGATTTGTGAGACTAGCTGGGTTTATTTTGACTTAATTTGAGCTTCAATAGCAGAGAATCTCAACTGCCAGTAGCTCTTGAGGAATGCCCATCGATGATTGGATATTCCCATCCCTTATTGCAGAAAAATCGGCATGGCAGTTAATTTTCAAACACAAGTAATCAATATATTCTTATGTAAATTATTACAAAGTATTACTTCCACTACAAACGAGGTTGATAAATAGTATATGTATAATTTATAGAAAAATGCAGGTTTTATAATAAATGAAGTGTGTTTTATTTGTTAGACTTTACGTGCTAATGGACAATTATTTGGTTTTTAAATGTTTTATGAGCTCCATTAATAATTAATTGCTGTGTTATGCTGCTATTTAAGATTATAAAATAGTCTGATTCTCAATTTCTTTATATAATGATGATGATGAACCATTTGATATTTAAAATAGGAATAAATAAAAATAATTTTAACTTGTTTTTAAATGGAATATAGATTCCTAAATTAAGGAGCCTTGGCTCTTCGCTATACTACGCGTGAGGTCTTCTGCTGCTGTCAAGCGCTCCGTCATCCCTTTCTGCCGTTTAGGCCCGCGAGTTACTCTTTGCTTCTTGACAACAACAATATCTCCTCACTTTTGGATGTTTCCGCGTGCGCTTTTCTATACAGGATATTCTTCGTGTCTTTAATATAAGAGTTATTTAACTAATTTGATTAGATTAAAAAAATTAGGTAAGTTAGTTAATTATAAAAAATATAACGTTTTTTTTTCAAAACACGATAATCATCTTCCTTCATATCCTCTCTCTTTTTTTTTTCTTGATTATGGTTAAGAGATTATTAATATAAACAAATTAGAAAAAACTGATAGGTATGACAAACAGGCCTTATATTTAGAACTAAAATCAACTCAATAATTAAGTTATACATTAAAGACCGGAAGAGTAGTATTTATTTCCAGAGCCTGCCAAACAGAAAGTTATTGTCATTGTTATTTTCATCATATTCACTGCTCAGAAAATTACCATTGTTATTTTCTGCATATAAGCAAACTAAAAGTTATTGTCATTTTAATATTTTTAGAGTCTTTGTGTTTTTAAATACAAAAATTCCATGTTCAGTATTGCTAAATCATGATTTGTTTCAAACGCGGGGTGTGAATTTATCTAAAGGGCGTGTTATTTGACTCCCGACATTAATCTTATCCCACTCTATATGGGGCAAAAAGGGGAAATTTCAAAAAAGAAAAAAAAAACCAAAAAGTAAAGATGCCTTAAAAAAGATTGTGTCGGGTCGGGTCGGGGGATAATCTGGGTAGCCCATGGCCCAATTAACCCTAGATACGAAATGCCCATAAGGTTGCTCTTCGCTGTCTTCATCGGCGTTTTGCCGTGGGGGAAGTTCGTCGTCGTCTCCAGAATTGTAAGTATACGTCTCTCACCTAATGCTCTAATCCGTTGATTTTTGGGTTGTTTTGCGATGATTTACTGTGCCTTACATTCGTGCTTATTTTCAAATTCATCATGCCTGCTTGTTTTTTTTCACTTTCTACTTCTACCAGCTTTCCCCCAATCATTTTTTGTGGGGTTCTGCTGATGAAGATAACAACATACTGAGTTTCGAACGTTCGTTTCATATTTCTCACCCGTCAATTTCTCCCTCTCCCATCGTTTGCAACCTCCCCTGTCCTTTCGTCAGGGGAAGGGGGTTTGAAATTTGATATGTAGATGCTGCAATCAACTTACTCTGGGTGTTTTGAACATCGCATATTGCATGTGACTCTGAATTGTTTCCTTCTCGTTTGTGATTGTCGCATTTTACTAGTCTGATTTTATAATTTTTAAACCGGTTCATCCGGCGTTAAGAATATGTAGGCTAATGGCCTCATGGTCTTGCATGCCGTAGAATGAATATCCTTGGATGTGTATCTATACTACATTATTCCTGCTCATTTATATGTATTTCTGTTCTAATTTATACCATTATATTCCTATTAGTTAGGAGCTTCTCATGACTTGGAGAGAAGCATGAAAAATGATACACTGTTTGACTAAATGATTCCTTTTCTGTTCTCTTTATGGATTTCAATATTGTTACTTCATGCAGGGATTCAATTTAAAGGGGGTCTCTTAATGGCAAATAGACCTGATCCAGATATTGACGACGATTTTAGTGAACTTTACAAGGAGTACACCGGCCCTCCTGGAACGGCTACTACTAATACCCAAGAGAAGACGAAGTCAAACAAGAGGTCTCATGCAGGGTCAGATGAGGAGGAGGAGCCTCGCGACCCCAATGCTGTCCCAACTGATTTCACTAGCCGAGAAGCAAAGGTTTGGGAGGCTAAGTCAAAGGCCACCGAGAGGAACTGGAAGAAAAGAAAAGAAGAAGAAATGATCTGCAAACTTTGTGGTGAATCCGGGCATTTCACTCAGGTATTATGCGTTTTTCTGCAGCTTCGTTGTACGTTTTTTTTTACTATAATAGCTCCTGAGCAAATTTCTTGCAATGTGCAGAGACACATGCCCAAACTTTTCATTTTTACCAGTCTATCCATGGTTTATGTTGAAGCTTGAGACAAGTTTAAGCCAGCAAACTGTTGATATTGGCGTTAAGTTTTTACATATATATTACGAAATAAGTTGGTGGCATTGGATAAATTTAAACAATAGGAAGCAACGTTGTGTCCTTTATTTTTTTTTAAAAAAAAGGGGAACCAATCTGAATCTCATACGAAATTGGAGGGGCCAAAGGTGTATATTTATTCATTTATTTACCACCACCATGTCATTTTGGTTAAGTGCAATTTTACTGTTACTATAGGGTTGTCCGTCTACATTAGGAACCAATCGCAAGTCCCAAGATTTCTCTCAAAGAGTACCAGCAAGAGACAAGCATATGAGAGCACTTTTCACAGAGAAAGTTATAAGCAAGATTGAAAGGGATATTGGCTGCAAGATAAAGATGGATGAGAAATTTATTATTGTCAGTGGTAAGGATGGATTAATTTTGGCAAAAGGTGTTGATGCTGTGCACAAGATTAGAGAGGAGGGCAGTCAAAGGGGGTCTTCTAGTTCTCACGTGACCAGATCTAGGTCACCTGAGAGAAGTCCTGCTGGTGGACGGTTTCAACGTTCTGAGCCCCCAAGGTCTCATTCTGGACCTCGCAATACTTCTCATTTTCAACAAAGGTTTGGTAGGCAAGAGAGGGTTGTTGAAGACCGTGTGAGAGAGGACTTTCAAAAATTTCCAAGAGGTTCTCCACAAGGTAGGAACAGCATAGGGTTTGTTTACGACATCCTTAGAAAGCTGGTAATCTCATGTTCATAGCATTTTAGGCTTTTTTTACTTTTTCTTTGGGTGAAAGTTTCCCTTGATGTCTAGTTTTTTTTTTTTTTTTTAATGATGTTCTTCTTGCTTATATTTGCTTGCAGCAAGAGGTAAGTCCTTAGCCTTCAAGCATTCTCTCCTTCCTCCAGTAACTTTCTTAAGTGGGTCTGAAATGAAGGGTTGCCTCCATTACGAACTTGTTTACTGAAAGGATTTGGCTCCCATGGTTTCACTTTGCAGATTATAAAGATAGGTTTTGTATTTAAAGCTACATCTATGTTGGCATATCAAGTGCTAATTTGTTTAATTAAAGAAAACCATCTATGCTGGCGTCGTGGATCAAATGCTTAACATATTCTTCATTTGATGAAGCTTATGGAAATAGTGGAGCTAGAGGTCGTCCAAGCCATTCAAGATCTCCTAGAGAAGCACCTTATACAAGCAACCCATATAATTCATATGATGAGCGTAATCTAAACATGGGCACATATAGAAATGGTGGGTGGGATTCGCAAGCTAGAGAATCTGATATCCAATCCGGTCATCAGTTTGATTGCAATGCCTTCCCACATACATTAGAAGAATTAGAGATGGAGTATAAAAGGGAGGCCACAGAGCTTGGGAAAATCCGTGATAGAGAGGAAGATGAAGAAAATTTTAGGCATCGTGAGGTGTGATTTCTATATTCAACTCATTTGATTTTGGGCTATAATTGACTTCCTTCGTTGTTCGCATGCTAAAGGTGTTGGGTGAATAACTGAATCTTTAATCTACTGAATGTCAAATCTCTGAAGCTCCGAGCCATTTCCATCGTGGATGTGTAGTTGGTGATATTGGTTATTAACCGACGGCAAATGTAGAGTTGTTTCCTTTGTGCCTAACGTTAGCTTAGGCTGCATGCTTCTGGACAATTCAGTTCTGTATTATTGAATAATGCTCATTCTTTGTTTGAGAACTGTTAAATAGTGAAGAGTTGCTGGTTCCAGTTAAGTGATAATGGTTTGTTGCTTCGTTTCCTCTAAGCTTGTATTGGAAGTTTCTTTTTAAGATCATTATGTTTTCCTTGCAGGTGATGAAAATAAAAATGGATGTTTATACGTATGCTTGCTTCTAATTATTGTCCTGTGTGTCTATGTATGCCCTTAGCAGAGAGTTCTTTTTCATGTTAAAAATTTTGAATCAATTTTGTATCCTTGGAGTTGGTGCTACTATGCTTGTTGATGAAACGTTTATGTTTTTGATATTTAATTGAAGGCTGTTAGAGATATGAGGGAGAACTACATGAACAAAGTAGCTATGCTGAGGGCCACGCATGCCAAACAGTGGGAAGATTTTCTTCAGCTTGATGCCCAGAGGCGTCAACAGCAGTCTGTCCAGCAAATGCCTACTTCTGGTTTTGGGGGTTATAAACAGCAAAACTTTTCCGAATATGAATATGATGGATGCGCGGCCAATCCTCATTATACTGGGGCCAGCTTGCCCTTGGAATTGAGGAACAGGTTCTCAAACACTATGGAAAACTATCCTACAAGGCGTCATGAGAATTTTGGGGAATTTCAGAGGCGTGGAGATTATCCAAAAGCTTACAACAGATATTAAAATTCTGTGTGAATAAAGTGGTGAGTTATTCTGCTGACTCTTGCAAACCAACTAAAAGGACATAATACTCTAGATTAGAGCTCATGGTTTCTCCCTGCAATTGCACAGCTCCTTGTCTCGTGGTTTTGTTAAATTCCACTTTCCAGATGTGGATCCTGGCCTGGGCTGGATACTTGGATATAGTTCCTTGTAACTATTTGGTAGTACATTAGTATGGAGGGCCCACTTTGTGCTATTTTTATTGCTGTCACAGAGAGCGGTCTTGTTTTGTTTGTTTAGTAGGTCATTTGGCTGACCACGCATGTCAACTTTAGCTTAAATTTCCCTCGGAAAATATTTTCAGGGTCCAGATTGTTCGAGTAGGCGTGTAATGCACAGGGCAGCCCATAAGGTAGGTATGTTGGTTATGGTATTAGGGTTGGGAAGGCATATCATTACCGTTTACGAACCATTTCGGCCATGTTAAGAACTTGGTTGTAAGTTACGATTTTTTGCCTTCTGTTTTCTGGGGCTTATTGTACTTCGTTGTATATGGTTGTTACTTGGCAACCTAATCAATATTGTTTTATGGGGAAATCCTTTGAATTACACCTGGGGTCGTGGGGTGAGGTGATTAACAGTTGGTGAGTATGGGCCTAGTGAATGCCCCCGAGGCATTAATGCATGGTTTCTTTAATGGGCGCGTTTGCATTCTTGGTTAAATATCTCTTCAGGAATTAATGGGCGTATGCTCATTCTCGGGTAGTTATCTATGCTGGTTTAGGCCCATCAAAATGGGGGCATTTGACCCTTCGCATGAGGCCATGTGTCAATGCCAGAGGCAGCATTCAATTGAAACGTGTGAACATACTAGTCCTGTTTGGTAAGAATCATTAAAAATTAGAGGTAAGGATTGATGTTGGGATTGGGAAAATATATTTAAAAAGTATTTAATGTAAGAGATTGCTTGTTATATAGGATTAAGTAAATTCATAGAAGTAAGATTGGAGAATGTTACTTTTCTCATGGTATTTCACAATCCCACTCGTATGGGTTTGACTAATCTTATATAATAAGCAATTACTTGTGTTAAATATTATTTTAATAGTTTTTTTTAATTACAATCTCAATTTCTATCATTTATCTTCAATGTTTCCTACCAAACGGAACAACTAGGTAATGCTTACCAGATCTATGCAACTGGTAAATCCATATACATCTGATCTCCAGATTTAGAAAATTACATTTCCTAGAGAATGACGTAGAGAGATTTATTGAGCGTTGTGTATTTAATGTTGTAGAAATTCGGGCAGCAAATTGGTAGGGAGTGAATGGGGTAAATGGGAAAGCTACTGTCACGGACTGGGTGGGTTTCGTCGACAGTCTCACCAACTTTTGCATTCCTCCCAATCACCGGATTCGATGTCAAATTCGTAGTACATCTCCATCGCTCGAGCAGCATCCCTCAGTTTTTGCTTTGTTCAACTTGCTTCCTGCCCCATAGTTCTGTTTTGTGGGGGGTTTGTAGACCAAAGCAGCTCGGCTCCGAGAGGGAATATGGGGTGGAGTGCCCCAGACGTGGGGAATACAATGTTGGCTATAAGTGAACAAAAATAAACTCATCTTTGCAATCGAGAAAGTCAGGCAAGAGGGGAGAATTAATACCATGGTGATACTATTCTAGTAATCAATCTTCGCACCTTTAATAACTTCAAGAAATTTGACGTTTAAACATGCACGGCCATTAGCCTTAGCCACCACCTGAATTCGAACAAATAACTTCAACCTCGGATGGTGTTTGCGAGCTACAAACTGTTAACTAACATTTTGTTATTTCATAACTCTTATAATTTTTGCAACAAAAATACTCTTAAACAAGAAGAAAAACATCTCCGAGGCTCCGAGCACCTTATTTAATATTTAATTTATTTTAAATGAGTAAAATTAATTTTCTCATATATTGTATGAGATTTAAAATAAATTTTAGTATTTATAATTAATCTAGGTCATGATTTACTATTTTTATGCTAGTATCGGTACATAATTATCATTGCATAAAATGAAATGAGATCAATGAACAAATAAAATATAAAGAAATATTTTTTAAGAAAAATGTTGCTTTTAGTTTGAAATAAAAAATAATACAATAATAATAACACAAAATAATGCAATACATGTTATATGTCTAGATTTCTTTCTGATAGATTTTTTTTTATTTTTACAAAATATCCCAACGTTTACCTTTTTTCATTTTTGAGCTGAAGAAATAAGCCTATTTTTTTAAGCAGAAAGAAAGGGGGAAAAAAAAGAGTCCATCCAAACGTACTTTCCCCCACAACAAAACACTAGCAAATTTGAAATATCTTATAAATAATTTTTTAATCATGTCTTATAAAATAAAAAATAAATATATAAAAAATTTATTTTAATTTACGAAAAATATGTTTATAAGTGATGTTAACTATCACATTAATTCTATGCACATTTTCCCGGATGACACGTCATGGAGCCGTTCCGGGTTCGGCTGGTGGGAATTTGGACAGCCTTTGGTTTTCATTTTTGAATTTTCAAACCTTTGGTATTCGGTCTCTGACCAATAAAATCGTTTGTCATTCTGTCATAAACTTGGAAAAAAAAGAACAAAAGACACTTCTTGATTCGGGTTAATTTTATTCAAAAAGACAAAGGCAACCAAGCGAAAAAAACTGAAAAATCATCGCATCTTATCTAATATCTTTGCCGACGCCCATGATTTAGATTTAAATTTTAAAAGGCAACTGTCCAAAAAAATGATTAAAATGGCAGGAAATTATTGGCTATCTTTTTAAATTAAATTAATTTTTAATTTTAAAATACGGCATCACAGTGTGGGCTCCTGCGGCCGTGGACGGATTCCAAGTTGGGAATGTTTCAAACAAACTATCGATCCTAGGGTTCTACCTCTGCTCCAAGGTGGTTTTGACTTTTCGTTTTTCTGTCTATTTTCTTCCTCTTCAATTGCATAATACATTGCCTCCCAGTATTCTGATCAAGCTGTTATTACTTCCGAATTTTGATAATTTTCACTTCGCCGTGATTGTGGGCTGGCTTATTTGCTGCTCATGCCAAAATGTAAGATCCTGAGGTTCTCGATTAGCCATCACGATTGTTTCATCAGGTCTTGCAAATTCGTTTCAAGTTACAACAATCTGTATGGGCCACATTATGTGTTTAGTTAGCTGTTTAGTGGATGGGAAAAGACATTTGCGTTTTTGAGATAATTTTTTACTGGCTTCATTATTCTCTTCTACAACTTTCTGCCCGAAATGTCTCATTTTCTTTCCATTCGTTGCCTGATTATCTGACCTTATATGTTCATTAAGGCTCCTGCAGACGTAGATTCTCTTTTCTGGAGCATGTAGGTTTCTACAAAAATTATTATATTGGCCGTGACAAACTGTCGGGTTTTTAATAATCAGAGGCCTAAATAATTTGGCTTCGTCCTTAACTTTCTCTGAAATATGAAGGACTGCAAAGGATTTTTTTTTCATCCTTGAAGTGTGCTGTCTTAGAAACTTGTGTAGGCTCCGCGTGCAACTAACGGGATGATTGCGACTCTTTAATCTCTAAACTGAGTTTACAACTTCTCATTTTAGCCTCGAATATATGTTAGTTTTGAATAGTTCTCCTTCTTTGTTACCCTTCTGTTTTGATGAAATTGATTGACATCAGATGGATCAAACCGTTTCAAGAGAGAAAGACTTAGAATATGATCTTGAAAGTGGTGGGAATACTAGTGAAGAGGAGGAAAGCAGGGACCTTGATTGCAGTGAAAAACGATGGAAGAATTTATTTAGTTGGACATGGAATAGGCTTCCGAACTTTGATGGTTCCAAAAAGCATGAAAGTGGGGTTGAAACATGTAGCAGTTCGTCAAAATCAGCTGATGTTATGGATGATGGTGTACCACTGCATCATGTAGATGCATGTTTAGAAGATGTACATAAGAAACTGCCTCATGTAAAGAATAATAATGGCAAAGAAAAGAAAAAGAAGACTAACGCAAAGCCTCCTAAGCCCCCACGACCACCTAAAGGGCCATTGCTGGATGCTGCTGATAAGAAGCTTGTGCAGGACATTGCCGAGATTGCCTTGAGGAAGCGTGAAAGGATTAAGAAAATGAAGGCTACAAGGAAGATGAAGGCAAGAAAGGCATCATCATCATCATCATATGCTGGTCTTTCTGCCATGGTCATCACTATTTTCTTTTTTGCCATCATTATAATCCAAGGTAAATTTAGGGTTCTTTTATTGAGATTGACTTCCTTGCACTGCTACCTACCTAAACTTTCATCCCAAATTTGGTTTGTGTCAAACATGGCATCACTTGAACCGGACCGCTGAAGTTGTTTCTCTATAACTGCTGAATCATGATCTCTCTTGGTTTCATAAATAGGACTTTGGCCTTGCTGTAGCTTTATTCTTCTGCATGATGGATGCTAAGATGCTCAAATCTGACATCCCAGGTGGATCATAATGATGATGCTTGTGTGACATTCTGTTCAGATTGAGTATATAGTATAATAAAGGCTTTTTGCCAGTGTTCCCTGATGGTCCAATCCTAGGATGTCACTTTACCTCCAACATGAAACCAGATACATGTAACATAATATAGATATTTGCGATAAGCATGTAGAATGGTGTATGAATTTGTTTACTTACTGAATATTGATCAAACATCCTGAGAGATTGAAAGCACGACTTGGAGCAAGTTTCTGTTGGTAATCTTTCATTCTATTGGAAAATGTCCATTTCCTATATTACCTCTGTTCTTAAAGAGCACAACATTCACTGCACAAATATTACTAGGCCGTGCTAATTTCGTTTTGTTGTTTCGTTCAAAGCACACTGCATGGGCACACATGAAGATATTTGGAATGGACAGTCCCCTGTAACATATTTAACTTTTGAACTAAGTTTAGAATTATAGCCTATTTCACTTCCTTGGTGTTATGGTGCTCTTTGCACAATGTTTTGAGCTCATTTAAAAGCTTTGAAGAGAATCCGGTTTTGGTTGAAACTTAAACTCCGCTTTGGTGCATCTCTAGTGAAATAGTTTGTGTTCATGAAATAACTTTCAAGAGACTCTGTACGCGCATACGGTGTTCTGCATGTTTATTAGATACTCTTGTTACTGAGAGTTTGCAGGAATAAGATCAGGACGTGGCGCTGCTGTTGGAGTAATGGCTTCACCCGAGCCGAGCATTGCAGCAGATGAAGGTTTAATTTCTGTCCGTTTTTCCAAGAACTTCACCCACGAAGGTGATGCACCTTGCTCTCATTGTCCAACTCTGTATTCTTTTGCCATTATTGCTGCAATCTGATTGTTTTTCAACTTGCGTGTGTTAATGCAGTTGTGCAGGGTACATGACACCGACACTGTGAAGACGATTTCCGCTACATTTAGGCTGCTCCAAGTAGTTTTGGATCATTTATTTTTTCTTGTACAGCCCCTTGGATGGTCTAAAGTTTGCTAGTAGACTGAGATGGCTCAGTTAATACAAGTCATGCACCGATTTACTACGTTTCTATCGAATTTTAGTGATGTAGCATATGGAGGCCACTCCACCAATGTAGCGAGAATTTAGAACGCTTTTCCCCCTGCAAAAAAAAGGGCTTAATTAGTAGTTATCTAAAAATAATAATAATAATAATAATAAAAGCGGTATATGCAAAGCCTTTTTTTTTTTTGGTGGGGTTTTTGGGTGAAAGAAGCAGTCTTGCAGTGCCGATATGCCAACAATGAAATTTACTCTTTATTATTATTTTTATTATTTAGTGGATTAGCGAATTCCCCACCGCTCCTCGTCCCGGGTTGGCGGGCTCTAGGGTCGGCTTTCGATCCAACTGTCGTAGCCATAGGGAAATGTCGGTGGAGCGCCTAACCTTACGAAACAATAGAAAGGGAGTTTGGCCAAACTCCAATGAGGGTGAAAATTGGCCCCAAGTCCTAACCCCCCGAAAATCTGTGCATTTGATGTGCAGAACGAATTTAAATAAAGACATAATGTACAGTAAAAAACAATTTTATATACTATTTTTAGTTCTAATTATAAAAGCTAATTGACTAATTTGAAGAGATTAAAAAAAGAAGTTAGGTTAGTTATTTGTAATAAATAGGTGTTGTCTTTCTTAAAATATCTTTGCTAATTAAGTGTGTTAGTTAAAATTATCATTGTTAGAAAGACTACTTTTAAAAAAATATATAAATATAAAAGACAAAATGGATTGATGTCTTATATTTAGGATCAAAGTAAAAGTAAATAAGTCTTATATTAAAAACCGGAGGTAGTATTAAGATACTCCTCCAGTCCTTAATATAAGACCCATTTAACTAATTTGATTAGATTAAGAAAGTTAGGTAAATTAGTTAATTATAAGAAATGTGACACGTTTTTTTCTAAAATACTACCTCCGGCCCTCATTATAAGAGTCAGTTGACTAATTTGAGGAGATTAAGGAAGTAAGTTGAGTTAGTTATTTGTCTTAAATATGTGTTGTCTTTCCTAAAATATCATTGCTAATCAAGTGTATTGACTAGAACTATCATTGTTAGAAGAGCAACTTTAGAAAAAAAAAGTATAAATATAAGAGACAAAATGGATTGGGATCTTATATTTATGACCAAAATAAAAGTTAAACAGGGCCTTATATTAAAGACCGAAGGTATTACCATAATCATCTTTTTTAATACCACATCTTCTCTTCTACTTGATTATGGTTGAGGACGTATCTACACGGGTAATTTAGAAAAAAATTGATAAATATGAGAAATATATCTTATATTTAGGACCAAAACTAACTCAACAATTGGGTTCTATATTAAGGACCAGAGGAGTATCTTTTATACAGCAGATAAACAAGTAACACTCCTCTGATCTTTAGAGAGGCGATTTTTTTTAATAAGTCACATTATTAATTTTTTATAAATATTGTATTTTTTATTTATTGTTGGGTAGATTTTGTTTTCATAGATATAATATATACTAAATAAAGTTAATGTTGAAAAGTTGTTAAATTTTAAAACAGAATTAAAAAAAAAATTTAATTATGATGAAATATATATGTTGATAATGAATTATAGATAACATGAAAGAGTATTCATCACATGTGTATATACGCACGACGCCGAATATAATTGGTATTATAAAATGAATAAATGAGAATGGGAAGATAACGTGATGCATGGCAAAACCGAAGGGAATTGAAGGCTGGCATTGGGTGCCCAGAAAAGCAGGGGCAGCCGAACCGCCGGAGAAGGAGGAGGCATCTGAGTGTGAATGTGTGATGGCACTTTGAGGATTTGGTCTTCTCCAACCAACTGGAAGATGGGCACCGCGGCTTCTGCTTATGCACTGATGATTAGTTAATTTTACACCTCACGTCACCCAACTTGCCCCAGTTTGAAAATCCATTCTCTTATGGGAATGTGTGGTCCCCTAAGCCCGGATGCAATTTGGAGGGAGGGATGGATGAATATGGAGTGAAACGAGTGCAGGGTTTTGGAAGTGGAGACCGGTGTTTGCAGCGCACGCAAGGAGATATATGTGTATGTACTCTTCTAGTCTTATTTATAAGATATTTTTAGTATGTTTCACACAAACTAAAAAAACCTTAAATTTTATTAATTTTTATTTAAAATTTAATAACTCTCTAATTTTATCCTTATTTAATATGCATTATACTTCATATAAATAAAGTCAACACAATAATAAATGAGGGGTAAAATTGTACATCTATATAATAAATTTTCTCTCAGTGTCTTATAAACAGGACCAAAAAATACTTTATGTTTCTGTTTTATAAATAGGACAAAAAAATATGTATGAACATGGAAAAGTCAAAAGGCACAGGTCGGCTTGAGGGAGAGGCTCTCGATCCCCTGAATCGTCCACATTCAGAGAAGATGTTTCTTTTCATGCGCACTTAAAACAGGACACTCCCTCCCCTCCTCTTCACGTTCATCCTACGTATCACTATTCCCCATTCGCCCAATTCTGCGTAATCCACTCATCCCACGAACAACTCATCCCTCCGCCCATCCATTCTTATCTGACCTGCATGTTTCCCAAATTCCCCCTCACTTCATATTTCCATCATATTTTTTCATCATCAATTAATATGTCTTCAGGACTATCATCATGGGACTCGGTTTAATATCCTGCTAAAATAACAACTCTATCTTCACTTTGACGCGCAGAAAAACTTAATTTTATCTGAGGATAATCATTTTGCGCCATTCATCGATTTCAGTGCCGTTCGGGACATGCCACATCCTACTCAAGCACGCGGCCACCTAAATTTGATGGGTCAGGTCAACAAGAGGCGCTCCCTTCGTCCTATATAACCCATAAATGCATAAACAGCTCTACCTCTTTCTCTTTTGTTCCAAAGGCTTTGAAACAATTGAAAGCCGCCGTGAGAGGAGTTTTTTTTTGGTGGGGGTAGAATCAACCACAAAAGTCATTTCTAAATATAAATAATCAAAACGCCACGCACAGCTAGGACGCGAAACTGATAAATACTCTGAATCAACACAGAGGCTGCTACTCAAGCAAGAAGACAGAACCAGAGCGAGTGGCTTGTTCGTGCTGAGACTGTATGCTGAGATCGGCGGTGATAATAGATGGCGGCGTGCAAATGTCCAGTTCCACTGTCAATAATTTAGGAATAATGAGCATGATGATGTTATATACATAGAGCGAGCAAGCTGATTACGGATGATTTATTATGGGCTGGATAGGTTCAATAAACCCCCGTAGGGTCTCGAGAGGTTCCTCAGCTCGAAAATCATCTGAGTCTTACCAAGTCAAATATTAGCGCGTGGTCCGACTCCGACTCAAAGCACTATTCATGTTCATCACATACATGTATCAATGGTGTTGAATTCTGATCGCAAGGAAAGTGAAAGACTTTGACGGTGCTGACCCACGAAGCGCTCACTGTCTCGTAGTATGACTTGGCCCATTATTACTAGGAGATAAACATGCTTTTGGAATAATCTGGGAGGGGCAGTAGGTGGAGGCTTTAATGAGAAATGACCCCTCGGATTCATCAACCTCAGGTCACAGTGGGCCGTCCCGTTTTAATGTTTATGTGAGCCCCGAAAGCTATATTATTATGCACTTTTCATTTATTTCTCACTAGGCTCCATCACATTTACGCCTCCTGCCCCTTTCTTCCTAAAAATATCTTCGTCATGTCCCTGGTATTCAACTATCCTGGAAATCTGCCATATGAGGGGGGCGAGAGAGTGAAGAAGAGGAAGAAAAGGGTTGGTGATGGCCATTTAATTTATTCTTGCATTTTCTTCCCTTGGCAGCCCGCCTATCCCCGCCTTGAGTCTTCTTTCTCACGAGTCAACATTATTAGTCAACATTAAGACGACGTGCGTTTTTGTGTGTATGTTCATCTGATCGCAAGTTCACGTACGACAATTTATAAATAAGTCTACATTAAAAAGATAATCTGTATATTCTATTTTGAGAATTTTAGGATTCAGAAAAATGAGAATTACTCCCATTAGAGTTGTGAAAATGCGGAGTTCAGATGCAACACGATGCCCACTGAAAGAAACTGGAAATACAAAAGCAAAACACACGTCGTTTAGTAATTAGGGGCCTCATGAGAGGCGCGTACTTGCGCCCCTCGGGGATCCCGTCTGTCTTACGGCTTTCATGGGTGACCCCAGACGCGAGTAATAATCATAACGGATGAGGGATCCAAGTCAACACGAGCGTGTACGAGTATACTATTTTACGGTTCTGACCCCATGCCCCAGAAACGACAAGCGTGACGCCCAAACCTCAGGGTAATCCTCTTGGAATTTGGAAGTCATAAATCAACCAAGAAAGAAAAAGTTAGATTTGCATGGCAATCATACGCTGGCTAATGGGATCTAACGTCTCCACAAACAAGATGCCATTGTTGTAATAATAAAGTTCTTCTAAGGGCGTTGATGGACCAGCAGCCATATAAATACGTTGGTTCCGTTCGGAAACCTGACTCCCCTGCCTTTCGTAACCACCGTATCGAAGTATATCTACATGGCCAAGATATTCAGACCGTTCTTCTTCAGAGCTCCATTCTTCTTTTGGTACCGTTTTCTTCTCAAGCAACTCAAGAACCTCGTTGGCATCCCCAAAAATATTGGCAATACCTTCGGAACCCAGTTTAAATACCAAAAGTATTCCTCTCTGGCTTATAGATCAGACCTCGACGACCATACTTTAATCTTTGATGTGGAAGGAACTCTGTTGAGATCTCCTTCTCTGTTCCCTTACTTTGTGCTCGTGGCTTTCGAAGCTGGTGATCTCTTTAGAGCCACTTTTCTCCTTGTGTCATATCCTCTGGTTTGTTTGGTGGGAGACCGAATGGGGATACAAATAATGGTTATGATAAGCTTCTTTGGGATCAAAGCAGAAAGCTTCAGAGCGGGAAGGGCTGTTCTGCCAAAGTTCTTGCTGGAAAACGTTGGGTCCGAAATCATCGAAGTGCTGAGCCGGGGTGGAAAGAAAGTGGGCGTCAGTAATTTACCCCAGGTAATGGTGGAAAGTTTCTTGAGAGAGTATTTGAAGGTCGATTTTGTAGTAGGCAGAGAGCTCAAAGTGTTTTGCGGCTACTACGTGGGGTTGATGGAGCCCAGAAACTCCAAACATGCTCCGGAAAAGGTTCTAGAAGAGAGAGGATGTTCTGATGCCATTGGCATCACAACCTTCAATAGGATCCTTGACCATGACTTGTTCTCCCAGTGCAGGGTTCGTTTCTGTACGATCTTCATTTTATTTTCCTTTTCGCCATTTGAAGGTTCATGCAGTAAATCTTTTCAGGCCGCAGTATTACCATGTGTCCGTTCTTTACTGTCAAAGTAAAAGGTTAGTAGTTGTCGTCTTCTGAAACTCATAGGTTGTCTGTCTTTTATTAACAGGAAATATACTTGGTGACCGAAGCTGACAAGAGAGGCTGGCAAAAGCTAGCGAGGGAGAAATACCCCGGAGCGTTGATCTTCCATGACAGTAGATTGGCCGTGGGACCCACCCCTCTCGAGGGCGTAGCCATATTGATGTGGCTTCCGTATTCGATAATTCTCGCGATTGTCAGGATTATCGTGACGCTGTCCCTCCCGCACAGCATCTCAACTCCTCTGCTCACCTTCTCTGGGCTGCGTCTCACGGCGTCATTGCCCACGAACTCGGCCCAGATGTCCTCCAAAAGCGAAGGCCGTCTTTATGTGTGCAACCACAGAACTCTGCTAGATCCTCTCTACCTGTCTTTTGTGCTCCAGAAGAAGGACTTGATCGCCGTCACGTACAGCTTGAGTAGACTGTCGGAGATATTAGCGCCCATCAAGACGGTGCGTTTAACGAGGAACAGGGATCAGGATGCGAACATGATGAAGGAGTTGGTAAAGCAAGGGGACGTAGCAGTGTGCCCGGAGGGGACCACGTGCAGAGAGCCGTATTTATTGAGATTCAGTCCTCTGTTCTCAGAAATCTGCGACGAAATAACACCCGTTGCTATTGATAGTCACGTCAGCATGTTCCACGGTACAACCGCAGGAGGATTTAAGTGGCTAGACCCGGTTTTCTTTCTCATGAACCCGTCCCCAGTTTACTCTCTTAAGTTTTTGCAACAGGTCTCTCCTGCATCCTTTACCTCTGGCGGTGACGAGGATCCGAGATTCCAGGTCGCTAATCACGTGCAGTCTCAGATTGGGGAGGCTCTGGGTTTTGAGTGCACCAAACTCACCAGAAAAGACAAGTACTTGTTGTTGGCCGGTAATGAAGGCCTCGTTTCTAACCCAACCAGGCGGTAAATGGCTGGTACTCGTGGGGACAGGGAATTAATGATAAAACATGGGTTTTATTAAAAGGACGCAAAATAAAAGTTGCAAAACAGATTATAGTACACGTAGAAGAAAGACCCTTCCTCTGGTAATCACAGTTATCTGTCATCGTATTTTGTCGGCAAACTGCTCCGAGGGCAGGTCTCTTTCTTTTTTGGTCTCCTACCATTTTCCTCTTGTGCGGCAGCATGGAGCATGATTGGTTCTATTCCATTCCTTCTTGGGGTATTTTTTGCCCTTATCTTACAATTAATGTACGTAGCTATCCACCGTGCAAAACACCCTTTACTTCTTGTACGTGCTTTTTTCTTGTCAAGCACAGTACAGATACAAAACAGGAGCCCCGCTGTGCCGCTCATCTCTTACATTACCTCTTTTCCTTTTTTTCCCTCTCTAATCAGGCTTAATTCAAGAATGCCGCAAAATAGGAGTTGTTTTTTTTCTCATGTAGGATGAATTCATAATTTTTAAACAATACATGCACATGGATTTCCCTGCAATTAAAAAAAAAAGCAGTGAAAGGCTTATAAGTTGGGGTTATGTAAAAATTTGATGGTCTAATATAGTCCAGTTCAACTTAAATAAACCCGGTTTAGAACAATTGGCACGAAGTAAAACTGGACTTGTTGAGCTCGATTGGATTGGGGACTGACCTCTTAGACCAATTGGTCCAGTCTAGTGTGCCCGAGTTTTTTATTTTTTATTTTTTAAATATTATTTATATAATTTAAATTTGTTTTAATTCTTTTATATAAGTTTTTTGTCAATTTAGATAATAAAGACTTATCTATGAACTTCCTAAGTGATGAGCATTTGTATATATTTTCTTCAATATATGATCTATATTGATAAGGATTAATAAATGAAACATGATATTAGTGGGAAATTAAAAGGGAGTGATCAAATTTGATGAAGTTTTAATCAAAACACGTGTAAAATTTTATATGGTAAGTTGCAGTCTTATCTCTAATTTAAAAAAATTAAAAATTAAAAAGATGATATGGATTGCTTGGACCAAGTCCAATCCAATCCAATCTCATATTGGCATTGGACCAGGCTAGACCGTGTGTTGGTATTGGATTAGACTAGATCTTGAGCTGTCTCTTTTATCTCGAGATCCTTATTAGATTAGATTTGAGCTGGTAGCAAATTCAGTCCAATCTCATCCATACACACCCATGTTATAAAAACCACGTGCCATGCTTGTATATATCTGAAGCAACAGCCTGCTGTTTTCTAAACCAGTTGTGTGTATAAAATCACAGGAGAGGGTCAAGAGAGTAGTTTGATACTAATTATTCTAGTCAGGGGATGAGCTAGGTTGAAAATAGAAGCGTCATTAGCTTGGAAATCGTCATTAGCTATGGTACCTATTTACTAATACACTGTTATATCGCGTGTTATTAGATCAAATTAATTCAATTAATTAAACTAAAGTGAAAACTGAAATTCTAAGCTGGACTTTCTCAATGGACACGTGGATCGCGTCATATATATATTTAAATGATTTAATTGAATGTGAATATGAATCCAATATTCATAATTCAACGACATTTAATTAAAATATCTAAAAATATTGCAGTCATGCAATTATGTAACGAGAGAAAAGAACAAGAGTTCAAAAGGAAAAAGAAGCAGGGGAACAAATTGCACGACCGCACGATTTTAAAGAGTCCATGTACGAACTGTAGAGGGAGGAGGGAATACCGCTGCCGGAAGTTCAAACCGACCTTGGACAAGCCTTAGGATACGGACAAAAACTTTGTTTAATCTACGTAACCAATAGAAGAATTTTCAGATTTTTATTTTCCTTTGACTGTATCTTTTTTAAGTTACTTTATGACTCGTCTCTGTTTGGTCCGCGGGTGACGTGTAAAACGGCTCTTTTAAACCAAAGTAGTTCCATGGATTCTTTTGTTTTTTGGACGGAAAGTTGCAATGGTTCAGACAGGCTGCATCCCGATCATGAACAATTAAATGACGCTCCCTCACCCCATAAATTAATTTCAAGAGCTTTGGTATACCCAAAAAAAAAAATCAAAATTCAAGAGCTTTGTAACTAAATTTCGTAAACTCAAAAAGAAAAAGGGCTAAAAATAATAAATAATTTTTAAAAAATTATACTCTTTTATCAAACCCATCTTTAGTCGATTCTGTCGACACGGTGAGATAATGGTTAGGCTCTATTTTATCAAATACTCTAACATAGAGTGTAATAGGGGTGTACTTAATAAATGGCTCATAAATATTTTTTTGGCCAAAATGGCTAATAAATATTGAGTCGTAATTTGCAAAGAGCTTTACATTTAAGAACAAGAGGATGGATGGCAAAAAAAAAAAAAAAAGACAGAAAGAAAAATGTCTTATATTTAGGATTGAAAAGAATGTGGTGTGATTTTTGTCTTGTTTTGTTAACATATACGCGTGTGTATATATATAGATGTGTGTGTGTGTGTGTAAAGCTAATTTAAGCACTTATCGGCAAACTGATGACAACATGATCCTATGTAGCTGCAACCCGGTAAAAGAAGAGAATTCTTAGAATGTACCTCTTTCATTCCTTTTCTTTTTAATTACAAGATAAAGTTTACACATATTACTAAAACTAATCGATGATGACGACTATGTAATTTTTCCAGAAATATCCTTCTTTAAATACTCTACTTTCTCGCATTCTCTCTTTATTAATTAATTAAAATGACTACTTTTCACTGACGTTTTTCAGGAAAGAAAAAAGTATTAATGATTGTCTAAATTTTGGAAATTGTCTAATAAATAAGAATAAGAGCACCAAAAACTCGTAAGCATTTTTTTATAAAAGAAGGAAAGAAATATAATTAATATGAAAAAGATTTTTTTAAATAAAGAAGAATAAAGAGTATACATTGAAAAAAGGAAAAAAAAAAACGCAGGGATGTGTTGGCATTTGATAGTTCAGATAAGTTATTAACTCGTTGCTGGAGATTTCGTGGACGTGCCGGCGTCATTAGAGATCTTACCTACCTGTTTGAAAATAGACTTTAGTAAAAATGAGTACATGAATCGTGGAGTTGGAATGAGTATTGCTTATTTTTTCCGTAAAAGAATGTGTTGGGTTCAAAATACAAGTCACCCATAGAGTGTAATTAATATATATTTGGTAGTTTTGTTCTTACAATTAATATTTAAACGTACGGTAATTCCTTATATTTTTCTATCTCAAATACTATTTCATGTAACATGGGTAAAATTGTGAACAGCTTTGAAGTTAACTACCCTTTCTTAGTTATGGTGAATTAATTAAGATGACTATATTATGGACAATTAGGAAGTATTATTATTGTTACGAAGTATTTTGACTATTTGGAGGCCTTGAAATTAATTTGCGGGGGCCTCGAAAATTACAAATCTGGTGGAAACACGTATTTGAAAACAACAACCGACTGCATTTGAAAGCTCAGGAAAGTGAAAACAGGCACATGCAGGGCGTTTATTCGAGGAGGGGTGGCGGCCAGCTGGAGCTTAATTCATCTGCTTTCGCTGTACTTCCCAGTAAGGGACTTGCAAAAGAGTGCGCGCCCCTCTCATTTAAAAGCCCTCCCACTTGATGGATGCTTCATTTCTGCCACTGCCCTAAATTTCACGTTCAGTGGGACTACCTCGAGCGCTGTCTACTTTTCTGCTGGAGCACCACCAAGCCAGGATTTTATATTTTCCCATACAGCCAGCAGAAGCCACGGATCAACACGTATTCCCTCTTGCACTTCTCTATATCGTCTCTTTTATTTCTTTCTTGCTTTTTTCTTTTTAAACATAAACATGCATGCTGGGAATTCTCCAATATTTTATTTTCCATGTGCACCTCTATTTAATGATTTCCCCTCCAACTCCCAAGAAAGATTGTATCCTCATATAGTAACATTTAATTAGGGCTAAATTTCTGGGGAAAACATTTAATTAGGAGCAGAGGGAGTGCCATCTATTCATTGACATACGTAACAGGAACAAACTGATATCTTTGAACTGACGCCTCAGTATTTAATTTGCTTATCTCCCGTCAAACTTCGGTACGCTTCATCTATTTCCACCTGTTACATTCACAATAATTCATCAACCCTCTCTCTCCAACTAACTAATACAAGAGTGAGAAACACAACATGACATTTATATATATATATATTTACCTGGTAATACTTAAGCAAATTATTTCTTCTCTTTTTCATTGTTGCTGTCACCAAGTCTCTTTCCACGTCAAATGGACGCGGCTCTAATATTACTCCTTTGATATGTTCAAATCCTTTCAGCTAGTTCCCCACAGACACAAACGTCGAAAAGAAAATGAGAAGGAAACACATTGCCACGCCAGTCTTAAAATGACAGAACTAGTAGTCCATTACTGGTTATGTTACTACTCTCAATGTCAGATGCTGTGGTTACCTTGTTTCTCTCAGCAATAGATTTGAGCTCGGACAGCACGTATTTCTTCAACTGGTCAAGGGAACAGAGTTCAGAAAAAGAAGCCATGTGACCTTTTGAATATGCCCACTTTTTTGTAATTTCTTCATTTGGAACCACTACCGCCACCAAAGCTGACTTGAAGCTATTTCCATAAACCCAGATCTGAATGGAAAAAAGAGGGGGAAATTGATCATAAACTTGTTAGCAGTCCCGGGGCTGAAATCCCTTTCTCAACAGGAAAAACAGAAGACATGCTTACATCTTCAACAATGGGAGTGATTCCATAAACATTTCCAGATACTCAAGTGCAATATACTCTCCTTGAGAGAGTTTTATTAGATTCTTCTTCCTGTCAATAACCTTGATGACACCGTTAGGAAGCATTTCTCCTATGTCCCCTGCAGATATACCAGAGGCGGACAAATCAAACTGCGTGCACATCAATCATAATTCAGTCTGAGGCAAGACATGAATGGCTACCTGTGTGAAACCACCCATCTTTAGAGGCTTCTCTAGTCAACTCGGGATTTTTATGGTAGCCTGCAAAAACAGATTTGCCTCTCACACATATTTCGCCACATGAAGGACTTCCAAGAGGACTATAGCCCATCTCTGGAACTTCCTCCAACCTCAATTCGCTGTACACATTCACGACGCCAGCTGTGCCCATCATGCACATTTCATCAATATAGCAAAGAGTAGCTGATCCACACGTTTCAGTTAATCCTGGATTGACCACCATCAGGGTTACATTGAGTTGCAAAATTATAATGTGCCCTAACAAATCCACGTGTTAATGTACTCTAAATGCTTGATAATTCATATCAGTAAATTGGCCGTGGCTGTTTCACACAAAAGAGAACAAAGGAACAGAAAGTAGAGTCATTTACCATAGCCTTGACATACGAAGGCACAAGAAGTAACAC